TTTGTTTATATTAGAGTGCTCCTTTGCTTCTCCAGTTATTTAAAGGCATTTCTTTGAGAACCAGTAATCGCATTTGTGAATGATATCAATTTATAATAATTAAATACTATACGGTCATCTTGGATGACTAATACATTCAGAAGGCTTTTTATCTGTAAGAGATTTATAATTCTTATTGATAAATGGTCTCCTCTCTTAGTCATCTTAATTGTGTAGCTATCTCTTAATTATACACAGGATTCGATTCGTTTCCTGAAGTATTGAATGACTTTCCATCATGTGTCAACTTCTATGTGTGTATGGATATCCTTATATGGTAATAAGTATGCTATGTATGATAATAATAAATTTGGTAAGAATATAGGTACAAAGATAAAAATAAAATAGGTCGCACAGTCAATGGTTTGAGTACAGGTTCAACCGGTCACTGCATTCAACCAAGATCATGAGGATCACATGATCTCTTGGACATGCATGCCTGTTTCATTTCGGAACTTTGGGAGTTAGTTTATGTATAACAGTAGGTTACATGAAGCCCCAAATAGTTAAGCAACAGACTCGCTATTTTACAGTTGTCAATATATACAAAAAATATAACTAGATTTAGGTATTAAACCTAGTTGGCAATAGAATTAATTTGGTAAATTAGTCCAAATTATCCTAAATTGCTCTATATTTTTACCAATATGAAAACAATTAATGTACAACATAGTTATTATATGTATTCATGATTAAATTGGTAACATTAAAGCAAGTTATATTATATTTCAGTCAAGGGTGTGATGGAATAACTATGGTTGGTTGGTCATTAATTTAAAGAAATGGGTGTTAAAAAGAATGAACACAAAGTGTTCAAATATTATCAAAAATCTGATAGTAATTTAATTTTAACCCTAACACTAAAAATGACTTAAGCTGAGTATAATTAAGTTTCTATTCTTCAAACTATCCGAATTAAATTTGTTGGTGAATTATTGCGCCTAACGGGACCCCTTGAATTAATAATTAATTATTAATAAATTAATCAAGTTATTAACTAGAAATACTTGATAATGTGCAGTACAGTATCATTTTCTATTTATTGAATTTATGAAAATTCAGACCTTAAGGTTTGATTTTATTATGATTTACATATACTGTAATATGCAGTTTTTTTAATGTAATCACATAGAAATAATTAGCAATAATCAATTATTAATGGTTAAAAATTTTGAAAATCTTTTATTATTAATTAAAACTCAATGTTTCGCGCCTAAAGTTATAAAAATTACTGAATTATAGTGATGTATGTAAAGATCACTAATTAAGTTCCTGGTTTGGCGTGATTGTGTTACATAACTATATATATTTTTATAATTATCATAATGTTATAGTATTACTGTATCGCATTATTACACTACAAAGGTACTAGAGTATTATGATATTGACAGCATTACGGCATTGTTTGATATATTTAAAACAAATATAAAACAAAATTTAGGGTATAATATGAGTTTTGTAGATTTGTAACATAGCACAGAAGTTTGGTAGATTTGTAATATAGTGCAAGAGTTTGGTAAATTTGAATATAGCATGGAAGTTTAATTTTATATTAGTTAGTACTAGATTTTTAATATTGTACTATAGTACTATAATATATACAGCCTGATCTCTCTATAGTCACCTCCTATATAAGAACATTTTCTTTATAGGCATGTCTTTTTAAAAAAATACCATTATTAAATATAATAAATTTGACCTCTATAACTGACATACTTCTTTACAATCACATATTTTTGTATTCCAAGTGTGTGATTATAAGAGGTTTGACTGTAGTTAAATTCTAAATATAGTAATAGTGTTGGTTTAAAATTAATAAATAAATAATAAATACATATTAAAAATAAAAAATAAATTTAAAAACAAAGTAAAAATAAAAAAGCTTAATGATTAATAATTATACTTTAGAAATTTCTAGAATTAATTAATTAATAATCTATTTCTATAAAAGGTACAATTGGTACTATAAATTTATGGTACTGTAATAAATAAATATAAATTCTAAACTATAATTAAATAAGGCAATGATCATAGATATATAACCAAATAATTTTATAATGGGTTAATAAATAAATAATCCTAATCAAAAAAATCACAATATAATAAATTAGTTAATATCTATATATAGCATTTGTTTGGGCTTTCAAATATTGAAAAGAAGCCAAATAGTGATTTTATTTTTTTTATAGTTTTATTAATTTGATAAGCTTTATTAATTTTGTTATGTAAGTTAGTCTGAGTTCTTACTCTTAGCACTAGACTTAAAATATAAAACCTTTTCCAATTATGTAAAAAGTTTTCATTAAGTTTAATAAAGATGTCTTACCTTTAACATTAAAAATAATAATAATAATAATTTTGTTATATAACTTTATTAAGTTTATTATTTTTTATGTTGTTATATTCTGTCAATTTCATTATTTGTTATTTAAAACTTTTGACAAAAAACAAAGCCTAGCTTTATTTTTATTAAAAATGAAATCTTTAGGCGTTGTCTAATTACTTTAGTAAAAAAGATTTTATGTAGTATATACAATTTTTTTTAAAATTTTAATGCATGTTCAAAAGACAGATCTTTATTTTTTTTATAAAAAAAATAATAAATAAATTTGTACAGTAATTAGAGAGCAAAAAATCTGAGACAATTATTCTAAGATATGTTATGGAATAATAAATTTCTTAAATTCAGGATCCTGTTCTAAGATTTCCAATTTTTCAGTTTGCAAAGTAAGGTAAACATCTACTCCATCCTCAGCACCAAGTATCATAAATAACCCATCAAGATCAGGAGTTTTTCCCGGACGTCTCTGTTTTATAGGAGTTCCATCGCCAAAATCTATTAAATCATGTTTTTGAAATTTTGCCCAACTAGATCCTCCAAAATATTTACCGTCATACTCAGCAGTAACCTGAATTAATGATTTATCTGGCTGTTGTTCAACCCAATCAATTATGGATCGAATATGGCTTTCATTCACATCTGTAACGGCCTTTCGAATTTGAGGTGCTATTGAAGATGGTGTACCATTAATCAATTGAGAGACAAGCATTCTTACATTTACAGCACTAAACATAAAATAATATTAAAGTTATTTTTAATGTAAAAAAAAAAAACATAAATGATAATAAGGCCATACAAATTTAATTACTTGGTTTTCATAACATGAAACTTTTAAATAGACCCGGTCAGCATTTTTTAAAATTATATATAAATTTTATAAAATTTATATATATATATATTTTAAAACCCACTCTGTTATTAGACATAAAAAAAATTTTTTTTTCAAAATTTGACTCGGCGGGTTATGAGAACCAATAAATGAATTTTGAGTGGCCTAATTGTAAACGAATTAAATATATTTACAAAACAACATTTCCATAATAGCTTTTGGGAATAGGTGGATTTAATTTATCACGTCCATTAAGAGCAAAGCTACACAATACTTCAGTATTTAAATCGAGATTTCGAGCTCTAGTGCATGTTCTCCAAAGGTGAGCTACAAGTGCATCATTTGTTGAAATCCAATTTTCATTAGA